ATGAACCTGCACGTTCTTCGTCATTGCCCCGCAGCCTACATCCCTCGCAGGGGCGAAATCCACAAACGTGTGGAAACCTTCGGGCAATGGTCGTCATGCTTCCCCTACCACTCACACGCAGCACGCATCACTCTCAGCAGTTGCCATGGGCCAGTTCGAAGACAACCAGACTGGTCCTGGGGAATGGATATGGCCTGGTACGAACTGCCACAAAACCATGGAGAGGAAGTACAGGGGATGCCGGTTCAGTTGTGCAGCAGCCACCCTCCTCCCACGCGCGCGCGTAGCGTTTTCCGGTTGCTCCACACAACCGGAAAATCCCATTGCCGGACCTCCGTACACACCTCATGGAGGACATCTAAACGTCAGCATGCCTGGGCCCATGTGGACGGCACGGGACGAATAAACTTTCAGTCTCCACCAAGCTGAGCCTGCCCCCGGCCCCCGAAAATGTCTGCATAGGTGATGAAAAAAAATTCTGCAAGGTTGGTGCCATGTACTGGTGGTTCAATGAACCAAGTTCAGAAATTGCAGTTCAGGTGCATACCGACTAGTGTGGCCAGACCTTCTTGCCATCTTGCGTCCACACACATGCTCCAGTACACTACCTTGTCATGCTCTCCTGTCATACCCTTGCTATTCTGTCTGTCCACTCCAAAGTGCATCCTATTCTGTCTTTCCATTCCTAAGTGCATGCTATTCTGTTTGCTCTCCTGTCATAGCCTTGCTATTTTGTCTGTCCACTTCAAAGTGCATGCAGTTCTCTGTGTGTCCATTCCGAAATGCACGCCATAATTGCTATTCTGTTTGCTCTCCTGTCATACCCTTGCTATTCTGTCTGTCCACTCCAAAGTGCATGCTATTCTGTCTGTCAATTCTGAAATGCATGCTATAATTGCTATTCTCTCTGTCAATTCCGAAATGCATCTGTCTGTCCATTCCAACGAAGTGCGCGTTATCCTGACTGCTCGTTAATGAACCAAGTTCAGAAATTGCCGTCCAGGTGCATTACGAATAGTGTGGTCACACCAACAGGCCTAGCTCAGTTGCTACACCCACGAACTGTTGAAAAATACAGACCTGAGTTCCAGCCCAGATGGATCAGGTGAACGAAATTCTTGAATTACGTGGGTCCGGTCAGTCCCACGTTGACATCTCAATCCCGTCTCACTCCTGAAAAAAAAAACTAGTGCAGTCGAACCCTTCTGTCATATCTGACCTTCACTACCACCCTCCACTGTACTACCTCTACCCAGGGGTTGGGCTCACCTTCCAGTGCGGTCAGTCCCACGTTTTTTTTCAGAAGTGATGCTCATGCTGCCCCGGCATTCCCTTCCAGTCCTTTCTGCTATGGGACTGGTCTGATCGCTCAATGTGTTTGGGGCAGCATTCCTTGATCACTACCGTCTTCCCCCGAACATAACGCATATGCGTTGTCTTCGAGTTTTCCAAAATAAACGGTTTTCCTGGTATTTTACACCAGGCAAATCTTTGACTCACAAGTCGGGTTTTATGTCGATCATATAAAGCACCTACACATAAAAAAAGGGCTGAAGAAACCACTAAAATCTTAACTTCTTGTTCCGGTCGACTAATAGTCATAGAGATTCTCCTCTCTTTAGACGAGGTATGCGTTCTATTCGAATAATAAGCATATGCGTTATAGTTGAATTTCACGAAGAGAAAATTGTTGTATTCGAATATAACCTTTTTT